CGAACCGAAGGCGAAACTTCGGAGAGGAACTGGCTCCACCGAGGGAAGGGGAAGGGGTTTTTGCTCCCATGACGCTCTGCCCATTGCTGAGCAGGTCCCTCCGCCATATAGGACATGGCGTAGCGGACGGCCTTTTCTTCGCTCGGCTCTCCGTTAACTACGAAGGCCTCCGGGGCAAGCCGAGCGTAGGTTTTGACCGCGTATAGGAAGGCGCGGCCGCGTTTGCGATCTCCGTTAAACGCAAACGGGGGGTTTGGTCGTAAGACCAGTTTTGAGGCGACAGTAATGTCACCAAATAACGCGTCCGCGTCGGGGGCATTCGGAGATGCCAAGGCGGTTCGGGAGCTGCCGGAGGTGGTGCGGCAGCGGAAGCCTGGGAAGCAAGGTGGGTGAGGAGATTGGTGAGGTTGTCTAGTTTCGCCTCAAGTGCGTCCATGCGCGTCAGCGTCCGGAGCAGCTCCGGTAGACATAGCGGGCGTAAAGACGACAAGAGCAGAGGAGGAGGGGTCAAGTGGCAGGGGCGGTGAGGGGGGGTACGGACTCGTACTCCGAGCCTGAGTCAGCACCAAACCTGGCAATCTTGACCGGTTAATCCCGTAGAGAGTTTCTTCTGCTGTAAGGGCAACCCTGGAGACTCCGACGAAAGCCTAGCAGGGGAGGATCCAAAGCGTGAATAAAAGCTACGGGAAATACACGGAGGGACCGACCTAGCAGGGGAGGATCCAAAGAGAAGAAACTCTAAGGGTCCGCCTGCTAGGGCGCCAACTATATACTGGTCGTCCGTAACTGCCGACGTAGAGCGCAGAAGGCCTGAGCGGCGTCGCAGGCTCTGTCCCAAGGTGATCGTTGGGAGGGTCTTGACGGATCGGTGATTGTGCGGGCGAAGGAGGCCGTGGACGATGGTCGGGGTGGGTCGGAGCGTCCGAGGGGGCGCCGGTCGGATGCGCCTCGGATGCGTTCGGAGGGTCCGAAGGAGGCCGAAGCGGGGGTTCCCCTGACAGAAGCGTGCTGCAACCTCAGAGTTGTCAGAGGCTTCCAGGCCTCTGCAGAAGAAGAGCGCGGTGGACGACGTTCGCGGTCCCATAGATCCATTCGTCTACAAGGGCATCAATCTCCCCTTTAGCGCCTTTGAGAAGGAGGTCATTCAGATGCAAGCTACACGGGTTGTCATCGCAAACAACTTGCCGGAGGACATTTTCCGAAAAACCGGACATGCTCCAGCTCTTCGCTCTGTTTCGTTCCCACGCCGTCGATGTTCTACCATCGGCCAGATTGATTGGCGGACGCCTCTTAAACGAAGCGATGGACACGGTGGATAAGAAGACGACAACAGCACTCTCAGGTCGACACTGTGGTATACAGTCAGTCTTCCTCGGAAACTGTGCCTCAGTTGCTGATTAATCGTAGGACGGATGGCTGGCGACGTTTTCGCAAAGGCATTACCGGTGTCGTCAGTAACGACCGCGGGGCTGTCATGACACTTGAGCTTAAGGACACGACGGCTTCGGCGTAAAGATGGCGAAGGCATGGCTACATTCTTCCGCGAAACCGTTGCTCGCATTGAAGCCAAGTATGGCTGCATTATCACCTACCTGGTCACCGATGCAGACAGCGGCAGCAAGAAAGGGCGAGACATCTACGCCGCTGAGCGACCGGACCTCTTTACACCATCTTGCGTCGCACATCAAATTACTTGCTGATGATTCGTCCTCATCTCAATCTCCAGGGGAAGTGTCCATTCAAGGTGTATGACCTCATGCGGGATAGCAGTATTGGCATGACCGAATATTGCAACTTTGCGACTCACATGCTCCGTGTAGTAATGAACACTGCAGGTGCGGAGCGTCTCTTCTCTAATCTGAAGATACATCTTGATGACCGGCGGGCCCGGACCAAACTCGAAAAGCTTGAAAAAAAAAGCACGGGTATGGTTTACTTCAGCTTGGCTGCTTTGACGGTTGATACTTGGTCAGATTGGTGAACAAATTCGGCGAGAACATATCGCAAAAGGTTTGGTCCGTACTGTACCATCCCGAAAACGCCGGAACCATGCTGTCGAATCCCGTTTATTGGTTGTTCCAACCTATTCTGACTTACTTGGAGACCAAGACGACGAAGATGAAACTGAGCATGGCCGAGAGCTTGTTCGCGGAGCTGAGGGCTGGAGAACAGAAATGGCCTGATGGATTGGTGAGGCACGGGCAGCAGACGAGGGTCAGGTGGATGATCTACCATCTCCAGAGGCGCTACAGTCAGAGGCGATTGCAACTGCCGCTGCCAAGTGGGGCAAAATGACACTTGAGAAGCTGTTCAAGGGTGCAACTCCTCCACCACGCCCTAGCCATGTTGAGCTCGATGCACAAGCTGAGGTGGAGTACCTGAATGACCTGGCAGATGCAGAGGAGGATGAGAATCCAGATGACGGTGCATTATATCTATCAGACGATGATGATTATGTCGAGTAAATATATTTATTATGATTTTTGCTCTCTTTCCTTTTTTTGGTCTAAGGGCCCCTTCCATCGGCCCCTTGGCAAGGGTCCTGGGCCCTTATAAGGGCCTTGTGTATCCTGAAGCACAAAAAAGGCCCCCTTGGTCAATCACTGCGCATCTTATATGCTGTCAAGACTGTCAGCCACAATCCGCCCATCAATAACAGCCACATATCAAGCCCCGACTGGTTCATCTTCGTCAACTCGAGCAAGCGCTGGACGATCAAAAGCTCCAGCCTATCAAGTGCTTGATTATGCTGCAGTTTTGCCATCTCCTTCTCTGCCTCCCGATATTGCATATCCTCCGGCTTCCATCGCTCCTCAATGCTCAGCTCCAACTCTATTTCCATCACCGTTTTCCGATCGTGCTCAAACTGCTCATCCGCTTATCGAGCCTCGATTTCCGCCTTAGGTCGTCCACTGGCAGGTACATAAGCCGCGTAGGGAATGGCACGGGTATAGCCACGGGTATCCGAGGGCCTACCCGTACCCTTACCCGCACAGCCACAGTACCCATACCCGCGGGTACGGGTATGGGTTTACCCACGGGTGGCGCAGGGAGTCAAGAAGGCATGGTGACGAGACTGTGATTAGTGTCCAAAGTACGCCAGAAATGTGCGGTAAAAATGGAACACAAATGCAGAATCAAACGGAAAACCTCTTGACCACCAAATCACGAGGGGAACCAGCTGAGTCAGGAAGCGACGGGTAAGGGCTGCACTGACCCGTACCCCGTACCCGCACGGGTAAAACCCGCATACTCGCACGGGTATGGCCTACCCGTGCCATTGCCTACATAAGCGGCATCATCCGAGCGAGCTCGTCGAGCAGCGCTTCGACAGGCATTCAAGTTAGAACTAAACAAATCAATATCTTGATGAGCCATAAAGAAAAGACTTGCATTGATGACTCGAGCTTCTTGAGTGCTCGAACATAGCGTGTCGGGCCAGTTTCGGTTGGTTTGAGACCGTCTTTCAATGCCACGAGGTACTCTTTCTCCTCCTTCAAGGCAAGATGGAAGTCTTCTGCAGTGATCCCTTCATCTTCCATAAGAGCTTGAACACCACGTTCGTCAGCGAGGATTTTGAGGGCCTGGGTATAGTTGTCGCAGAGAAACTTGCCTATGGGAATAGATTAACGCTTCTTCTCGCGGAGTAAGCCTAAGTTTAGCCCCTTCGCCAGTCTGACAGGTGATTCAGCGCACAATATTTCGTTGACACACGGATTTTTCATCGTCATGGGCGGATTCATCGACGCGGACGGCCATCCGATCGTCACGCAGAAGCAGCTCTGGCACATCAGGAAAAGGGTTTTTGCTACCTGGTAAGCTCTTATAGCACTGGAGACTCTGTAGCCTCAGTAGCCCCAGTAGCAATCATCAGAAGCGGGGTAGATGCTGATAGATCTACAGAAAATGACTTGGTTGCATAGTAGCCGTTGATAGCTTGGCAGGTTTTCTGGTGTATTGATCCGGCCCAATATTCATATCACTTTCTCTCAATGTATCCGGGAAATAGTCTGCACAGGAACAGGCAGCCTTCTAAGCATGTTCATTATATCTTAGCAGCATCTTCAAGTGCCTGAGAGAGACACAAAATCTGTTAAGTCCATGATCACATGTCAAAATGACGTGATTGATGGATCCGGATCTTGGCCGAGTCATAAAAGAAAGTGGCGCCATTTCGTCACATTTTGCCCTTCTTTCTTCCCCCCCACTCAGACGTGGCATGCTCCTGCCCGACACCCTCTACCCTGTGCCCTGGCACAAGCAGCAACTTGCCCCCCCATAATCCGCTTTACTGCTTCCCGTCTCCCTCGGCACTCGACAAGAGAAGTGTTGGTGCGTGTCCTCCATTTTGGGCCCATTTTGCGATTTAACCGCTGTAGCTCTTTTTCTCGTGGGCGAACTCGTACGATTTTCGGTACGTACCTTCGGCGCCGTTGCCCGCATGTGCTCACCGACTTTCAGCCATATTGACCGTGCCGTTCCCCCAGACGACGAAGACTGCCGTCCACACTCCTTCGATGCCCCCCGCCACCACCCTCTATCCCCAATGCCCCCCCCGCTGACACCCTGCGACGCCTACTGGCCTTCTCGCTCCCAGGCTGAGCCTGTGCGACGAGCTTGCTGGCGCTGCTTGGCAGCACTGCCGACAGCCCGGGACGAGCGTGCGTTGCAGCGCTTGGCGCGTATGTGGTTTCCAGCTCTCGTACATGCCTGAGCTTGGTGTTCGTGGGGTGCCGGGCCATTCATCCTACCAACAATGTATTCTGTACTAATTATAATTGAATTATTATGCTCTATCTTTTGTCTGTAAGCGGAATTCAGCATAAAATGCAAAGCTATTATCAACTACCAATTGCTACTAGTGTTGTGCTTAGCTGCTACTAGTTGCTACCAGAACCTGACAGGGTGCTACCAAGCGCCCGAGATCAGGGGACTTGTCTACCGTGCTACCACGGCTATCCAATCTACGTAGTGCATGATTGCAAAGTTGTCCATTCCTGATGCAGCCAGGCGTCGCTGCGGCCATCCGCGCCACATCCGAGGCCACACTCGAGGACAAGAGCAAGGGGGACCTCTTTTCCAAGGGGATTGCACTCTGCCAGGGCCTCTGGTTTATTCTGCAGTGCATCGCGCGCCGAGTCCAACGACTCCCGCTCACCGAAATAGAAGTTGCAACGCTTGCCTTTGCGACAATAAACGCGCTCACGTGGCTTCTGTGGCTCAGGAAACCACTTGATGTGCAATGGGACACCTAGAGGAAGATGAGGAAGTGTTCAATTTAGTTGGAGGAGGAACTTCGAAAGGAAGGAATGTCGCGCACGGACCAGCCTGCGAGCACGTGCTTGATCTTGGCGGACACGCTGTGACACTGAGTGACAGGCTTGCTCTTGACAACCATGGACACTCTGCCACTCGAGCTCCTCGAATACGTCGCGCGGGACTTGAAACCTTCGGACATCTACTCTGTCTGCTTAGCGAGTAAACGACTCCACTTGGCGAGCCAGCGAGCTCTCTATTCGAATATCACTATCGACACCGACGACGCCGCTCGCACGATCCGCTGCCTTCAGATGCTTGCGGGACACGCCAATCTCGCAAGATTCGTCAAGAGCCTCACAGTGTCAGCTTTCTTGCCGCCTTCCAAAACGCTCTCACAATGTCCTTTAGCATCCATTTTGACACGACGACGAAACTGGCTGCGTTCCGTCAGCTCGTTCTTCACGCCATCAAAAACTGCCTTCTCCTCGAGAATCTGTGGTGTGGAGATTCGGTAGAGTTCACAGCCCTTATTTCGAAGGAGGCCGCATTGCTGTTCCCCCAGCTTCGCTCTTGCAATATGCCATATGTACGCGGGTTGGCGGAATATGTCGAACGTCACTCTGCGACATTACGCATCCTGAATATCTTCTCCAGCACGATTGCAGTCCTTCGTATCTTGAATTGCGATCTCACTTTCATTGGACGCCCCCATTTGCCCAATCTCAAGAAGTTTTATGGTCCGCCTCTGTTGGCCGCGTGCTGGCTCCAGAGCTCCCCTGTAATAAATCTAGCGCTGTCATTCACGTCTAATCTGGAGAGAGGCCTGGGTATCCGCTCAACTAATGCATCCTTCGCTCTGCTGGTGTCGTTTACCGCCTTGTTCTCAGGCTCGAGGTGGGATAAAACACTATTTCCTGCACTCGCGGCAGCTGCACCAAACCTCGAATATATCCAACTTTTCCATGAACTTGAAGACTCGGCAGCAATTAAGCAGGGATATGAGGCACGTTTTCCGTCGGTCATAGTTAGACGCACTAACAACGCAACTAGGAGTTCCTTGACTCAGTCGAAATATCGCTCTCGGCGTTTACCAAGCTCACAGGCATATTTATGAATGTCAAAATATCATCTCCCGTGAGGGATGCGGACTCTACTACGCCATTGGCCAGTCTCGAGCAGAGTATAATGGAGGAGCTTGGGTGCATGCATCGCTGGGCCACGTTCTGTCCGACACTCGCGATCGTCAGTCTCCTGTCTGGCTGGATTTGGCTGGGCACTGGCATCGGTGCTAGAAAGTTGTGGCTTCCCTGGCAGGCTGTCAATCCGGAGTATGCAGGGCAATATGGGCTGATTCCAGAGGATGTAAAAAGCCTGATGGAGACAAACGCCGAGCAGCGCGCAGCTGCTAAGGCGCTGGAGGGTGCGACTCGGAGTGCGCTTGAAGGAGAGCTTAGCAAGTTGTTCAAGTGGGTGACCAGAGTGGTGTTGATGTAAGGACGTCCAAATAAAACAAATTATCTTGAACAGCTCGGAAACCAGGTGAAAGGGTCATCTCTCCGGGTAGTCGAAGCATGGCGTTATCGAGTGGCGGGACAGCGCCGTCACAGCGGCGGAGTTGAAAGACGTGGAAGCGTGGCCTAGGGCCGCCAGGATATCGCCAAGCTGAGCACATATGTTTGGCTGGGAGCGACTCGGAAGAAGAGTATAATCACTGCAGGCAACGACGGCCGGTAAGCTATGCCCATCTTTTTGCTTCTGGGATGAGGCTTCTTGAGAACATAAGTATTCCCAAGGCACCGCTCGGAGCAACGCGACTCGGGCAACCCACTGGCAGTACAATCCGCTGCGGGCTGCCAACAGGGTACTGCAGCACACCTTCACTCGGGACGGTCACGAGATGGAAACTTGAACGTAAACACGCTCCTCAATGCACACAGGACCACTTGATCATTCACAATCCTATTTGACGGCTCAGGCTTCTTTGGCCAAACACACATGTACACTAGGGATTCGGGTTGCTGACGGACACGCGGACGCTCCGCCAGGTGCTCCTAAGAGCAAGTCAGTCCCCGAAAATCAGCATTATGTGAGACAACACGCACCCGGACGGCGGGGCGAGGCAGCCAGAGCCACCGCGGAGGATGTAGGAGTCCCCGGTGCAGCCCACGCCCGTGTAGAGGAATTCGCCCCCGGTCGGATTGAGGTTGTCCCACGAGGCGCTGTTTTTGCCGGAGCCGAGGTTGATGCACTCCGAAATGGAGCCCGGTTCGCGGTAATGGGCGACAACCAGGCGGCCGCACTGTGCGTCCTGATACCCGCGAATCTCGAGCGCACCAGCGGACGTCGCCGCGAGGGCCAACGCGAGCAGAGCAGAGAACTTCGAGAAAGCGTACATGTTTCGGTCTGTCCATGGCCTGGGGGTAAGCAGGGGTAAAGACCAGGCGGAAGTGCACTTGCCTGCTGTTTGGTAGACTGTAAAACTGAGGGAAGAACTGGCCACCGTTGCCTTTTTATACCTAGCGGCGCAACGAGTGCTGGCCGCGGCGTGCTGATTAGCTAAGGGGCTAAGACCGGGACACATACACACTAGTACTTGCCGCGTTTAAATCGACTCGTTTGCTGTGATTGGCGGATGAAGGAGTCTTGGCGACGAGGCAGTTGGTCCAAACATTTATCGCTCTTCTAGTCACGGCGAGCGCACTGTAGTTGTTTAATACTTGTTTAATACTTACTGTTGGATGAGTTAGCCATATTCAATGGCCGATACTGTAACTACTCACAGCAAATCTATGGGCCAACCGATGGACCCAGTGGGGGGGGGCGCGTGCAGGAACGTTAACGGTGCAACCGTTAAGTTGAATACGAAATGAAACATGTGGGCGACGCTAGGATGGCACTTGACACGACGGTAGGCAAACGAACACCGCTCGCTCCGCGAGGCTACGGACTTGAACAACAGTTAGTCAAGGGTGAGCGCTGATGGCAATGACTCAATACCCGGTTCGGTCCGGTTTTCGGCCGCTTTTAGCCAACCTTGAGCGGAAAATTGGGATGAACCTGATCGCCGAACCTCAATGAGAGAAGTCACTTTCGGGCGTCCTCAATGAACCGGCCTCCGATGCGCGGCATGACGAACGCACGGGGTTTTGATTGGAAGAACGGCTGAACGAGTTGACGGCTCGTCGGAGGCCCGGCAAGCTCGTCGTGGGAGAGAAAGACATGCGTAGCCCACTGCGGGAGCAGATGAGCGAAGAAATGACTGGCAAATGTCAATAAAATATGCGCTGTTGCACACTTACTTTGTTTTGTTGAGCATTGGCCTTTCCCGTCCATCTCCCCCACGCCTTGAAGTTTAACTTGATCTCCGCATCCAACACTCCTCCCACTCCGCCCCATTTACCCATAACTCCCATTCGCGCCCGGTGAAATGGGAGGTGCGGAACTGGGACAGCACCGTCTCAGACAATGGATACTAGTTACTTCGCATTGGACCTTGGTGCGGACGGCAAATGCAGTCCCGCGCGGAGCTCCAGAACGCAAGAATCTTCCAGTGGGTGAACATCTGAAACGCCTTCGCGCCGAACAACCGAGTATGCATACCTTTGCCTGGATGTCTCGCTGACGTTGCTAGTCAACTTCGTCAACACCCTCGACCCGAACTGTGCCCGCCCGGGCAGTTGGCCATAGGCTGCAATGGAGGCAGTGCTTCCGCGCGGAGCCGATGCAATATCTGTACGAGATGTCGACGCAGACGCCGTTGAAAAGCGGGCGGCGGGCGTTGCCGGTGCTGGACCCTTGAGTGGACGCGGAAGAGAGAGAGAGAGCGAGTGTGGAGGCCAGGTGAGCGAGATTCGGTTGGAGTCAAGACCCGAGAAATATACGATGCGAGTGCCGCGCGTTATGTAGGAGTCCCCGCGAAGCTATGAACGAGTAAGCACAAGCCACGTTGAGGAACACCACATTCACCCGCAACGATAGCGCCACGCCGGCCTACCCTGGGCAAACGCGCCCACTGCCATTTAACGCATGACTTGCACAAGAACCGGGCCTTGCCAAGCGGGGCGGATGACGGATGACGAGCGGGATGTGGTGTGCAAGCACAAGAAGCGAGCATAGGACGGCAACCGGCCACCCGGCCGCGACACCCGTAGCCTTGCTAGCACACCCAGCTTACCGACCACACTACACGGTCTTCTTCTCCACATTCACACGCCGTCTTCAACCCGCTCCCGGCGCCGTCCGGACGTCCCCGCCACAAGCGCCGCCAGCAACAGCGCCGTCTCCAACTCTTCCCGAGACGCCGGGTTGACGCGGGAGGCGGGAGAAGGAGACGGGCGCGGGGAGTCGCCGGAGACCGGGCTGGTGGTTCGCTCGTGGACGGCATCTGGCCCTCTGCTGGCCTCTCGCGGCATTCAGCATTCGAGCCACCTCGGCAGCACTCGGCGCCGACGCAAGCCATGACAGTTCTCATCCTGAGACACTGCCAATCCGGGCCTGTGTATCCGTGCACCCTCGGGCACAACATGGACCAGGTGCTGCAGCACCACCCGGGCGAAGCCGAACGTTAACATGCTAGGCTGTTGTAAATGCAGAGTACCGCCGATGATGACAGATGACGCACTTTTCGCCCTCACTGGCGTATACATTGGCGCCCCTCCGGTTGCTTCTGGTCGCACCCAGCGCTCGTTCATCGCCGGGTCTGCGCTCACTGCACGCGTTTGAGCGGCAAGCGAAAGATGGAGGATTAGCTTACCTGTACGGTTTTGGTCTGTTTCATCTCCACCGCTCCAATCCACCCTTTGTGTCGTCGTCCGCGGGCGCGCTGGCGGCATGACAGCGCAATATACCAGCAAAGAGCTCGAGGAAGGAGAGATGGGACCGCCGCTCGACCAGCTCTCGACGGTTCCGCGGGTGGAGCGGTGAAGCACTTGCGTGCCAGTGCGGGGTGTCTGTCGTATGAGTGCTGGTAGCACCGTCGGAGCGAGTGCCGCAGCGGGTCCAGCCTTTGTCAGAGAAGTAGAAGTTGGAGGCCAGCCCCTGAGCCTGTCGGTCCGAGCAGGCCGACAGGCGGGGCGAGCGTCGCGCCTGTCGCACAGCACTCGTCATAGTCCACGAATGTGTTCGCAAGTTTTGGCCACGGAGGCCGTTTGCGTGGAGTGAAGGTGGGAGTCAAGAGGGAAGATCAACATCCGGAATCGCGCCGGATCAGCGTCGGACACTTGTGAGATGACCGACATTCCCAGCATCAACCTGGCAATCTATCAGAGAGGAAGCGCCGCCTCCCACGGCCATGCATCTTGCGATTCTTGCTCTTGACCACCAGCATCCCCTCACAGCTTGCAATGTCTGTTGTCAATGTCACAGGTAGGGTCTACCCTCGCTGCTGGGCTGCAAGTAACTGCTGTAGGTGGTACTGGTGGAGGTGGAGGCTCTGGTGGAGGACATGGAGGTGATGGCCATGGCCCTCAAATCCATGTAATGGGAGATAATACACAGTGTGTATTGGTGTTTACATTGCTACATTAATCTAATATGAAATTCATAGCATACATAGTGCAGCAAATACAGAGTGTAGGTGTAAGCAAGTGTTAAATATAAATATGACAATCATCTATCACAGTCCAAGAAGATATGTCCCTAATTCAATGGATCTCACCAATCAACTTCTTCCTCCGTCATCAGGCCATCTCTGAAATCCGGAAGAAGAATACTGGTGACTGGCTTTTGGAGCATCCAGAATTCTTGAAATGGAAATCAACAACAGGGAGCATACTTTGGTATACAGGGATTCGTGAGTCTAAATGACACATTTGAATACAAAAAACTAACTATTGTTGATAGCTGGCATGGGTAAAACAGTGCTTGCGTAATAGTCCTGAGTTTTCACAACCATATATACTGAGTATTGTTTGCAGATCCAAAGTTGTAGACTATCTTATGCAGCTTCAGGAGCAGGAGAAGAATTCCAACATTGGAGTGGCTTCAGTCTATCTGAACTACAAAGAGACAGAACTACAGAATGAAAGGAATTTGCTGGCAGCTATCTGGGGACAGCTAACCATAAACAAGGATATGTTGCAGGCCAGAAACCTCCATAAATCCCACAGGAGCAAAGGCACACATCCTAGTTTGTCTGAGATCCAACAGCTTACCTCAGCACTGGTTGCTACCTTCAAAACTGTCTATATTGTGGTGGATGCAATGGATGAATATCAACATGGTGAATACCATCCATTACTCATACAGTTTCTCCAGTTAGGAGGAAATGTGAATATTATGATAATGTCTAGGCCTCACCTTATTCTACCCTCACAAATGTCTGTTGTCAGTCTGCAGTTGCAGGCAGATGAAAGAGACATGAGATTATATATCACAACACAGATTGATCATCATCAAATCCTGAAGGAGTTTCTATATGAGAATATCAATCTTAGAGAAGAGGTGATTAATAAGATGATTGTCAAGGCTAATGGCATGTAAGTGTGGACATTTATTATGATATAGCAGGCTTATTTATATACAGGTTCTTGATGGTACAACTACAACTACAGCTTCTGAGTAATGCTCTGACAGTAGAGGCCCTAGAACAAGCTCTAGATGACTTGCCAGATGATCTGGGTATTGGATATGGCAGAACCATCGATTATATCAAGCTCCAATCAGAAAATCAAGCACAACTTGCAATGCTTGCTCTTGGATGGGTTTCACATGCAAAACGTCCACTGACAGTAACTGAACTGCAAACAGCACTTGCCATGACAACAAAAACTACCCAATTGCCTAATTCTAAGCAATTGATTAGAATTGGTCATATTATCAAGATATGCTGTGGGCTCATTACATATGACAAAGGATCAGACATTGTGCGTCTTGTACACTTTACTACACAGGCCTTCCTTGAGAAAGTCAGATCTGCTGAGTTCCCCAATATGCATGTCAGGATCACACATATCTTGTGTATCTATTTGCAATTAGTAGATGAGCTAAATAGTGATAATCCTCTGCTTGAATATGCCCAGAATATTCTGTTTCATGCAAAGGGTCGGGGAGAGGTAGTTCTTCAGTCAGAGTTGATTCAATGCATAGAACATATTCTAGTGAGGAATTACATGCATATTGAAAAGTATGGCTGGTGGTCAGAGCCATGGGACAACTTAGGGGTTGCAACATCAACATTAACTCCTCTGTCTGTTACAGTAACAGGAAATCTACTCCAGTTATCACAATATATTTTAAGTTGTATAAGAGGTCAGGATATAGCAATTATTTTTGCAGCTCTACAGGGTCATGAAGAGGTGTGCAAACTACTGTTTGCTAAGGACAGACAAGGAGCAGTAAATCTGGTGGATGCCTTTTATGGGACTGTGTTACATGCAGCTGCTGCATTGGGGGGCAACAAAGGAATTCTTCAATTATGTATAGAAAACAATTGTGAAGTAAATAAGATTGGTGGGTATTATGGAACTGCCCTTGAGACTGCAGCACATGGGGGAAACACAGAGACTGTGCAACTCTTACTCAACTCAGGAGCACAGGTGGATCTGGTTGCAGGGCCTTATGGGACTGCTCTTCAGGCTGCTGGATATCAGGGACACACAGAGACTGTGCAACTCTTGCTCAACTCAGGTGCACAGGTAGATCTGGTTACAGGGGAGTATGGAACCGCTCTTCAAGCTGCTGCATATGAGGGACACATAGGGACTGTGCAGCTCTTACTCAACTCAGGTGCACAGGTGGATTTGGTTGCAGGACACTATGGAACTGCTCTGCAGGCTGCTGCATCTATGGGAAATACAGAAACTGTGCAGCTCCTACTCAACTCAGGTGCACAGGTGGATTTGGTTGCAGGGCCCTATGGAACTGCTCTTCAGGCTGCTGCATATTGGGCACCTACAGAAACTGTTCAGCTCCTACTTAACTCAGGTGCACAGGTAGATCTGGTTGCAGGACACTATGGAACCGCTCTTCAAGGCTGCTGCATATGAGGGACACATAGGGACTGTGCAGCTCTTACTCAACTCAGGTGCACAGGTGGATCTGGTCTCAGGACACTTTGGAACTGCTCTTCAGGCTGCTGCATATGAGGGACACATAGGGACTGTGCAGCTCTTACTCAACTCAGGTGCACAGGTGGATCTGGTCTCAGGACACTTTGGAACTGCTCTTCAGGCTGCTGCATTTAGGGGAAACACAGAACCTGTGCAGCTTCTACTTAGCTCCGGTGCACAGGTGGATCTGGTCTCAGGACACTTTGGAACTGCTCTTCAGGCTGCTGCATATGGGGGACCTACAGAAACTGTTCAGCTCCTACTCAGCTCAGGTGCACAGGTGAATTTGGTTGCAGGGTACTATGGAACTGCTCTTCAGGCTGCTGCAGCTCAGGGACACACAGAGACAGTGCAGCTCTTGCTTAACACAGGTGCACAGGTAGATCTGGTTGCAGGGTATGATGAAACTGCTCTTCAGGCTGCTGCATATTGGGGACGCACAGGCATAGTGGAGCTCCTGCTCATCTCAGGTGCAAATGTGAATTTAGTTGCAGGATACTCTGGAACTGCTCTGCAGGCCGCTGCAACTGTGGGACACATAGAAACTGTGCAGCTTCTACTTAACTCAGATGCATATGTGGATCTAGTTGGAGGACATTTTGGCACTGCTCTTCAGGCTGCTGCATATCAGGGAGGCACAGAGACTGTGCAACTCTTACTCAACTCAGGTGCACAGGTGGATCAGGTTGCAGGGTACTATGGAACTGCTCTTCAGGCTGCTGCATATTGGGCACCTACAGAAACTGTTCAGCTCCTACTTAACTCAGGTGCACAGGTAGATCTGGTTGCAGGACACTATGGAACCGCTCTTCAAGCTGCTGCATATGAGGGACACATAGGGACTGTGCAGCTCTTACTCAACTCAGGTGCACAGGTGGATCTGGTCTCAGGACACTTTGGAACTGCTCTTCAGGCTGCTGCATATGAGGGACACATAGGGACTGTGCAGCTCTTACTCAACTCAGGTGCACAGGTGGATCTGGTCTCAGGACACTTTGGAACTGCTCTTCAGGCTGCTGCATTTAGGGGAAACACAGAACCTGTGCAGCTCCTACTTAGCTCAGGTGCACAGGTGGATCTGGTCTCAGGACACTTTGGAACTGCTCTTCAGGCTGCTGCATCCGGGGGAAACTTGAACACAGCAACTGTCCAGCTCCTACTCAACACAGGTGCACAGGTGGATCTGGTTGCAGGGTACTATGGAACTGCTCTTCAGGCTGCTGCATTTGGGGGACATATAGAAACTGTGCAGCTCTTGCTCAATGCAGGTGCACAGGTGGATCTGGTCTCAGGACACTTTGGAACTGCTCTTCAGGCTGCTGCATCCGGGGGAAACTTGAACACAGCAACTGTCCAGCTCCTACTCAACACAGGTGCACAGGTGGATCTGGTTGCAGGGTACTATGGAACTGCTCTTCAGGCTGCTGCATTTGGGGGACATATAGAAACTGTGCAGCTCTTGCTCAATGCAGGTGCACAGGTGGATCTGGTCTCAGGACACTTTGGAACTGCTCTTCAGGCTGCTGCATATCAGGGACACACAGAGACTGTCCAGCTCCTGCTTAACTCAGGTGCACAGGTAGATCTGGTTACAGGTGAGTATGGAACCGCTCTTCAAGCTGCTGCATATGAGGGACACATAGGGACTGTGCAGCTCTTACTCAACTCAGGTGCACAGGTGGATCTGGTCTCAGGACACTTTGGAACTGCTCTTCAGGCTGCTGCATATCAGGGACACACAGAGACTGTCCAGCTCCTGCTTAACTCAGGTGCACAGGTAGATCTGGTTACAGGGGAGTATGGAACCGCTCTTCAAGCTGCTGCATATGAGGGACACATAGGGACTGTGCAGCTCTTACTCAACTCAGGTGCACAGGTGGATCTGGTCTCAGGACACTTTGGAACTGCTCTTCAGGCTGCTGCATTTGGGGGACATATAGACACTGTGCAGCTCTTGCTCAATGCAGGTGCAAATGTACATCTAGTTACAGGGGAGTATGGAACTGCTCTTCAGGCTGCTGCATCCAGGGGAAACACAGAGACTGTGCAGCTCTTACTCAACTCAGGTGCACAGGTAAATCTGGTTGCAGGTTACTATGGAACTGCTCTTCAGGCTGCTGCATCTCTTGGATTTACAGAAACTATCAAGCTCCTGCTTGACTCAGGTGCACAGGTGGATCAGGTTGCAGGGTACTATGGAACTGCTCTTCATGCTGCTGCATATGAGGGACATACAGAGACTGTGCAGCTCCTGCTCAACTCAGGTGCACAGGTGGATCTAGTTGCTGGAAAGTACAGAACACCTTTGCTGGCCGCCTTATATTCTTTCAATTCCCCTTGGAGGCCCCTCAACACTACTAACATCTATCACATTATCTCCACTCTCCTCATTGCTGGTGCAAAAAGCAAATATCCAGTCATCTACAACCCAGTAACACAAAATACCATCTGGTCTCTTCTCTTGAGACCACATAAGGGAAACCATATCTGGACCCCTGACAAACCATTGATCTGCACCATGTGTGATTTGGCCTGTGGGATGGCTGTCTCTGGCACTACACCAGATCATCCTCACTTGTACTATGATGATGATAAGAATGATGCTGATGGTAATAATAACGTGGATTAGAGTCACCCCGACAACTGAGATGAAAACGGGAGGATTTTTTAAAATTTTAATGAAGGTAATAATGGTTGAAAAAATAGTGACCTTTATTGATTAGAAAAAAAGTTTTAAATAATGTCAACTAGATAGAAAGGAAATCTGACCAGAAAAATATTTCTCAGATTGTAGGAGAAAAAGGGTGCATATGTGGGAAAAATGGAAGATATCTGGGCATAAGAGGCTTTTTTGTATAACAATGTTGATTCCTTTTTTTCTGATAAGATTGCTGTTCTACTTATTGGGTCTTTTTTAAATCCATTTTTCCCAATAAATAAAGGTGGCCCTTTTTGGGGTCATTATTACCTTAATTAAAATTTTAAAAAATCCTCCAGTCTTGTTCCCATTCCTCGGGGTGAGTCTCATAGGTAGCTGGAACCTATATCATGTGAATGAAAATTTATTTATCCTAATCTGAGCATTATCAAGTCAATTCATTCATCCCAATCCTATTATTAAGCACACACTAAATACCCCTACGCATAGCTCCACACCCGCGCCAGACTGTCCCCGCTCCCGGTGGCGAGCAGGTTCGCCGCGGGGCTGAGGTCGATCGAGATGACCGAGTTCTTGTGCCCCTGGAGGAGCGCGTGCACCGCGCCCGCGCGGTCCCAGAACTGCACGCCGCGGTCCTTCGAGCCGGACACGATCCACTGCGCGTCGTGCGAGACCGCGACGGAGAGCACGTAGTCCTCGACGTTCATTAATATTTTTTGGGAGACAAAATGGAATAGGGAGACACACCTTGTGCCCGAGGAAGTCCCGCGTGCAGACCGCGCGGCCCTCCGGCGCGGCGCCCGCCTCCCTCTTCACCTTGCCCCCGCCCGCGAGCGCGGACACGTCCCAGTGCTTGAGCGTCCTGTCGAGGCTCCCGCTGATCACGCCGCGCCCGTCGGGGGTGAAGACGACGCTGTACACGCTGTCGCGGTGCCCGCGGAGGCGCTCGAGCAGGACGCCGCTGTCCGCGTCCCAGATGCGCACGACGTTGTCCAGCGACCCCGCGGCGACGTGCCGCCCGTCCGGGGACAGCGCGACGCTCGTGACGCCCGCGTCCGGGCCCTCGCGCGCGCCGTCGCGGCTGACGCCGGCTCGTCGACGGCGAGGACGAGCGGCGGCCCGCCGTCCATGTCCCACACGCGCGCGGTCCGGTCGCCCGAGCCCGAGACGATGCGCCGCCCGTCGCGCGAGAAGTCGAGGGAATAGATCTCCTGGGTGTGCCCGGAGAAGATTTGGGCGACAGTGCCTTTGGTGATGTCCCAGATCTGGTGAGTTGATCAGTACGACGAGGTAAAAAATATGTCGACAGAGAAGAGGACAGGGCGGGATCGTTGGGATCAAGGCGTGCGAATACGGGGGAAGGGCAGCGGATGGGCGAGGGGTGAATGAGGGGGCAAACAAAAGAGATGTGTGTTAGCGTAATGAGTAATGAGGGTAAACGGCGAGAGAATTAGTAGCAGCGGGGACAGAGGAAGTAGCCAGACGGGACAGGGTATGCTGTCGCGCAGACAAGGCGCGAGCTCCGCCAACCTCGTGTGCCGGCCATCACAATCACATGGAGGCACGGCGAGAACGAGAGAAGAATGGGCAGGGAGCAGAAGAGAGGATAGAAAGAAAGGCAAGCATGACGCGGGAGCAGGAATGCAGGGACAGAAAACAGACACGCACCCTGATCTTCCGGTCCTCCGCCCCCGTCGCCAAAAAGCGCCCATCCGGGCTGAACCTTACGCTCCGGATGTAAAGGTCGCCCGCGGGGCCGCTGACGTCGTCGACCAGCACACTAGCGACCTATCGGCACGCGAGGACAACGAACACGGCGCGACGCACCTGGTCTTGCGACCCGTCTTGACGTCAAATATCTGCGCCGACCGATTACACCCCTCGCCAAATAGCGCCCATCCGCGGAGAACTGCACGCAGCAGACGACGCTGTTCGCTTATCATCAACACACACGAAGGAAACGAAAAGGAAGGGAGGATGCAAAAGAGAGCGACGCAAGGAAAAGGGAAGGAAAGCCAGGGAGCAAAATAAAAGAAGGGCACTCACGTCGCATGCGCGAACGTATGCAGCAGCTGCACGCTCTCCAGCCGTCTCGGCCTGATGCGCGGGTTCCACTGGCACACCGCGAACCAGTCCGCGCCCTCCTTCTTCATGTCCGCCGGCAGACTGGCGACGTCCAGCCCGTCGACCCACGCCGGGAACGGCTCGTCCTCGCGCTCGCGGTCGCGTTCTTTGTCGGCGTCCTTCTCCCGGCCCGCGTCGCGCTCCAGCGCGGGCATCAGGGCAAGGCCGGAAGTAGAGGTAGAAGCAGGCGCGGACCGGAGGACGGGCATCGGCGGGAGGGGCAGATGCGAGTGGTCCGGTAGACGATGGGCCGACGTTGACGCCGCTGCCGTCATCGGGCGCCCGGGGCTGTCGGCGCTGGACGGCGGTAAGGCTGCGCGGCCATGCGGGCTGTCGTGCTCTGACACCCATAAGCGCGGGGAACGACTGATGATAACGTATTACGCACCTTTGGTCAGTCTGAGCCGCTTGGCATCGCGCTCGCCCCCGCGGTCCCTGTCCCTGTCGCCGTCCCGAGAGCGCTCGCCGCGGTCCCGCTCGCGGTCGGCGGGAATTCCCGGCCCGCCGAGCCCCGGCCCCGCGCTGCGCGACACCTGCAGCTCCGCGCGGAGGTGTGCGATCTCCTCCTCGTAGCGCGTGCGCAGCTTCCCGTGCTGCACCTCCAGCTCGTACAGCGCCTGGCGTATGATATTCAGCTCGTTTATCTGCGTGTTCACTGCCATTCCGTCAGCAAGGGAACGAGGGAAGGCTGGCCACACGCCGTGCGACGAGGCGCTCGTACTTTGCGCTGACGCCGCCGACGAAGCCGGAGACGGGGAAGGGGCACGGCGCTGGGACACGTCAGCGGTCATGGTGGTTGGGAAGAATGGGGCAGACGCACGTTATATATCCCCGACATTCTCGCTTGTTCTCTCTTATAGTAACGCGTCGGCACTATAAGACGCGTCCTTCCCCCACAAGAGCATGCATGCAGCACATACTTAAGTCTTAGTCGCGGCGTGATGCCACGCAGACTGCCCGCCAGACCCCGGAAGCGCCGGGCCATATCTTGAGCTACAGAGCGTCGTTCGAGTCCGTGCGGGCAGCGTTTGACCCACCAGCAACGCGTTGGTGGTAGATGAGGAAAAGTCATCATGGTGACGTCCTGTGACTGATGTGAAGAGCGAAGATCGGCCATCACGGGTTTTTTGCCCTTTTCTTCTCTCCCGCCCTCCACGCTGCGCGTCATCCGCCAGCGCCACGGCCAATGCGCAAGACGGCTTCCCCAGGCGAGTGTGCTGTTCAAGTACTAGTGGCTGCCGCGCGCGCGTGTCGTTTACGCTCGCGGGGCATCGTCGTCGCCCCAGCACCGTCATATGTTTTGCTAAAGAGACATGGGTGAGCGACGCACTCGACATTCCACTCACTCCTTTGCGCAACGACTCCGACTTGCGGTCGTCATGAAGCACATCGTCAATCCACACACACAATCCACACAGGTCTAAAAGGGCTGTCAGCGGCGCCGGAAGGGGTAGGCGTCCGTTCTCCGCTCTTTCCTTGGCAGCGTTGTGACTCCCACCCGCCAGGGCCGCCGTTTAAGCGACGCGCTCGTTGCGGCCAACAACTGCACGCTCGCAGACGACAGGCCCGACTGTCTGCGCCGCGTCCCGTTTGCCTTTGCCGCATTCGGCGCCGCGGTCGACCGCCGGATGTGCGCGGCTAGCGCAGCCTGCAGACCGTCTGGCGCCCGTCCATCGACGGCGAGGTCCGTGTCGAGGGGAGACTATGCGAAGGTGCGTCGCGCCCGCTGTGCTTTCACGGCATCATGATGGCGTCATTGCACGCAGCTGCTGTTTGTGTCGGGTAACGCGGACGACGAGGGGACGGAGTAAGCACCACCGTTCCAGCCGTTGGTTTGACGCCCGCTGCAGGTTCTTCTCCCTGGGCAGCACCAACATGATGTTCTCGTTCTCGCGCACCTCTCCGAGTCCTCGTCGATATCACCCGCAGCACCAACAGCGAATTCCTCGAGGATCTCCAGTCCAAGCATGGTTTGACATCGCTTCAGGCGGCTGATTTAAGCGCAGTTATCTCCCCCCAGATCCTGCGGCTCGGACAGCTCTATCCGGACGACCCAGTCCAGGTGCGCCGATATGCATTTCGTCCCCAGCTGGTCTGCTGATACCCGCGCCAGGGCTCGCCCTTCGGCACCGGGAACGCCTCGTGTCTATGCCCGAATTCAAGCGCCTCGCTGCGTTCCAGGGCGACTACCTCTTCGTCGGCGCGCGCCGGTTCCACGCCGCGCGCACGCAGAACACGTGGAGCTTCCGTGCGTGTGTCCGTCGTTGCCATATGAGGCCTGCTGACATAACACTGCGCCAGTCAGCAAGCGCGGCAAAAGCGCGGCCGTCCTCGGCGCCTTCCACGGCAGCGACGTCCCGCTGTGGCTCCCGCCGGCGCCCGATGTCCCGGCCGCCTCCGGCCGGGGCCGGCTTCGCGCCGAACAACGCGCTGAGTACACACACCCCTCCGCTCGATACTAGTACGCTGCGCTGACAGATGTCATAGTCAACTTTGTCAACACCCTCGACCCCAACAGACCCCCCGCTGATGCAGTTGTCGGCGCCAACGGGCCCGGGCTGTGGTGCGCCGGTGGCCGCGGTGGCCGCCCGCGGCGCGCGTGCTGCTCACGCTGGGCGGCCCCGGGCCCGACGCGGCGAATCTGACTGTGGACGGCTTCCGCGTGGCGCCGATGCGGTATTTGTACGCGATGTTGCTCGCGGACGCGACGGTGGAGCCGGGGCTGGACCCTTGAGTGGACGCGGAAGAGGGAGGGAGGGAGGGAGGCCTGGTGTGGAGGCGAGGCGAGCGGGGTTCGGGTAGAGTGTGTCAAGGCCCGCCGAGAAATATACGACAGTGCGACTCGGAGTGCAGTCCCCAGCGGTGGTGCAACAGGCTGGAAGCTGTGAGTAAGCACGGAACAAGGTACCGCCTATGAACGCAGATTTTGGGGCTTCAGCCTCTCACTTTCGCGCTGGCGCTGCCCGAGTTTGAGCGAGCGAGACCGACGGGCGCGCGTTACGATGTTGTCCCGCCAGTGCTATGATCGCGGTCCCTCCTTTCTCGTCATGCGCGTGCGCGCTGGCGGCGTGACGGTGGAATACAAGTCGCAGGAGATGTGGGGAGTAAAACTCGAATGCCGCGAGCGGCCCAACAGGGGGGACAGATGCCGCCCATGAGCGGACCACCAGCCCGGTCCCCGCGCCCGTCTCCTTCTCCGGCCTCCCGCGTCAACATGGCGTCGTATACTAGAAGAGTCGGGCGCCGGCCCGAAGAGTCGGAGACAGCGCTGCTGCTGGCGGCACTTGTGGCGGGGGGACGTCCGGACGGCGCCGGGAGCGGGTTGAAGGCGGGGAGTGAATGTGAATAAGACGGTGGGTTGTGGTTGGTCAGCCGAATGCCACCGTTTCTCGTCGTGCGCGTGCGCGCTGGCGGCGTGATGGTGGACTATACCAGCAAAGAGGGCAAACTTGAAGGAGAGGTGGGACGGCCGCTCAACCAGCTTCAGCGGTCCTCCGCGGGTTGAACGGTGAAGTGCTGCGTGCCAGTGCAGGGTTCTGTCTGTCTGACCGTCGGAGCGGGTGCCGCAGCGGGTCAACTGGCAGCCGACTAGTATCGGTGTCCTCATATTAGTCCGAGAAGTAGGCCCTGGAAGGCCTGTCGGTCCGAACAGCGCAACAGGCGGGGCGATAGTCGCACTTGTCGCACAGCACTTGTCATGGTCCACGCGTGTGTTCGCAAGTTTTTGCCACGGAGGCGGTTCGCGCGGAGTGTCAAGAGAGAAGATCAAGGCTTACCACATCGATCAGCCTCGGACACTTGTTAGACGCCCGACATTCCCATCATCAGCCCAATCTATCATCGAGGAAGCGCCGCCTCTTGGCCGCCTCCCACGGCCAGTGCATCTTGCTCTTGACTACCACCATCCTTTCGCAGCTTGCAATGTCCGTCGTCAATGTCGCAGGTAGGGTCTGCCCTTGCTAGTGGGCTGCAAGTAACTGCTGTAGGTGGTACTGGGGGAGGTGGAGGCTCTGGTGGAGGACATGGAGGTGATGGGCATGGCCCTCAAATCAACATGAATCTAATGGGAGATACCCAGTGTGTATGGTGCTTCGCATTGTATATCATTCTGATATGAATCTATAGCATACATGGAGCCAGCACTGAGTGTAGGTGCAGCAAGTTTTATGCATCAATAATAATCTATTGCAGTCCAAGAAGATATGTCCCTAATTCAATGGATCTCACCAATCAACTTCTTCCTCCGTCATCAGGCCATCTCTGAGATCCGGAAGAAGAATACTGGGGACTGGCTTTTGGAGCATCCAGAATTCTTGAGATGGAAAGCAGGAACAGGGAGCATACTTTGGTGCACAGGGATTCGTGAGTCTAAAAGACATATTTGGTTACAAAAACTAACTATTGTTGATAGCTGGCATGGGTAAAACAGTGCTTGTGTAATAGTTCTGGGTTCTTACAACTTATATGTACTGAGTTTTGTTTGCAGATCCAAAGTGGTAGACTATCTTATGCAGCTTCAGGAGCAGGAGAAGAATTCCAACATTGGAGTGGCTTCAGTCTATCTGAACTACAAAGAGACAGAACTACAGAATGAAAGGAATTTGCTGGCAGCTATCTGGGGACAGCTAACCATAAACAAGGATATGTTGCAGGCCAGAAACCTCCATAAATCCCACAGGAGCAAAGGCACACATCCTAGTTTGTCTGAGATCCAACAGCTTACCTCAGCACTGGTTGCTACCTTCACAACTGTCTATATTGTGGTTGATGCAATGGATGAATATCAACATGGTGAATACCATCCATTACTCATACAGTTTCTTCAGTTGGGAGGAAATGTGAATATTATGATAATGTCTAGGCCTCATCTTGGTCTACCCTCACAATATTCTGTTGTTAATCTGCAGTTACAGGCAGATGAAAGAGATATGAGATCATATATCACAGCACAGATTGACCGTCATCAAATCCTTAAGGAGTTTCTATATGACGATATTAATCTTCAAGAAAAAGTGATTAATAAGATGATTGTTAAGGCTAATGGCATGTAAGTCTGGACATTTATTATGATATAGCAGGCTTATTTATATACAGGTTCTTGATGGTACAACTACAACTCCAGCTTCTGAGTACCGCTCTAACAATAGAGGCACTGGAACAAGCTTTGGATGACTTGCCAGATGATCTGGGTATTGGATATGGCAGAACCATAGATTATATTAAGCTCCAACCAGAAAATCAAACAGAACTTGCAATACTTGCTCTGGGATGGATTTCACATGCAAACCGTCCACTAAGGGTCATTGAACTGCAGACAGCACTTGCTATGTCAACAAAAACTACCGAATTGCCTAATTCTAAGCAATTGATTAGAATTGGTCATATTATTAAGATATGCTGTGGGCTCATTACATATGACAAAGGATCAAATATTGTGCGTCTGGTACACTTTACTACTCAGGCCTTCCTGGAGAAGATCAGATCTGCTGAGTTCCCAGATATGCATGTCAGGATCACACATACCTTGTGTATCTATTTGCAATTAGTAGATGAGCCAAATATTGATAATCCTCTGCTTGAATATGCCCAGAATATTCTGTTTCATGCAAAGGGTCGGGGAGAGGTAGTTCTTCAGTCAGAGTTGATTCAATGCATAGAACATATTCTAGTGAGGAATTACATGTATATTGAAAAGTATGGCTGGTGGTCAGAGCCATGGGACAACTTAAGGGTCACAACATCAACATTAACTCCTCTGTCTGTTACAGTAACAGGAAATCTACTCCAGTTATCACAATATATTTTAAGTTGTATAAGAGGTCAGGATATAGCAATTATTTTTGCAGCTCTACGGGGTCATGAAGAGGTGTGCAAAGTACTGTTTGCTAAGGAGAGACAAGGAGCAGTAAATCTGGTGGATGACTTTTATGGGACTGTGTTACATGCAGCTGCATTGGTGGGCAACAAAGGAATTCTTCAATTATGTATAGAAAACAATTGTGAAGTAAACAAGATTGGTGGAAGGTATGGAACTGCTCTTCAAGCTGCTGCCAATGAGGGACACACAGAGACTGTACAGCACCTGCTCAAGTCAGGTGCACAGATGGATTTGGTTGCAGGGGAGTATGGAACTGCTCTTCAGGCAGCTGCTAACAGGGGACAGATAGAGACTGTGAAGGTCCTGCTCAACTCAGGTGCACAGGTGGATCTGGTTGCAGGTCCTTATGGGACTGCTCTTCAGGCTGCTGCATTTGGGGGACATATAGAAACTGTCCAGCTCCTGATCAACTCAGGTGCACAGGTGGATTTGGTTGCAGGACACTATGGAACTGCTCTGCAGGCTGCTGCATCTATGGGAAATACAGAAACTGTGCAGCTCCTACTCGACTCAGGTGCACAGGTGGATTTGGTTGCAGGGGAATATGGAACTGCTCTGCAGGCTGCTGCATCTATGGGAAATACAGAACCTGTGCAGCTCCTACTTAGCTCAGGTGCACAGGTGGATTTGGTTGCAGGGGAATATGGAACTGCTCTGCAGGCTGCTGCATCTATGGGAAATACAGAAACTGTGCAGCTCCTACTCAACTCAGGTGCACAGGTGGATTTGGTTGCAGGGCCCTATGGAACTGCTCTTCAGGCTGCTGCATTTTATGGGAGGACACCCATTGTTCAGCTTCTGCTCAACTTAGGTTCACATGTGGATCTGGTTGCAGGGTACCATGGAACTGCTCTTCAGGCTGCTGCATATTGTGGGAGCACAGAGACTGTGCAGCTCCTACTCAATGCAGATGCACAGGTGGATCTTGTTGCAGGATACCATGGAACTGCTGTTCAGGCTGCTGCATCTCGTGGAAACACAGAGACTGTGCAGCTCCTACTTAACTCAGGTGCACAGGCTAATCTGGTTGCTGGATACTTTGGAACTGCTCTGCAGGCTGCTGCCCAGGAGGGACACACAGAGATTGTGCAGCTCTTACTCAACTCTGGTGCACATGTGGATCTGATTGCAGGAAACTATGGAACTGCTCTTCTGGCTGCTGCAAATAAGGGACATACAGAGACTGTCCAGCTCCTGAAAGGACCTGCTCTTCAGGCTGCTGGATATCAGGGACACACAGAGACTGTGCAGCTCTTGCTCAGCTCAGGTGCACAGGTGAATTTGGTTGCAGGGTACTATGGAACTGCTCTTCAGGTTGCTGCATTTAGGGGAAACACAGAACCTGTGCAGCTTCTACTTAGCTCTGGTGCACAGGTGGATCTGGTCTCAGGACACTTTGGAACTGCTCTTCAGGCTGCTGCATGTGGGGGACCTACAGAAACTGCTCAGCTCCTACTCAACTCCGGTGCACAGGTGGATTTGGTTGCAGGGCCCTATGGAACTGCTCTTCAAGCTGCTGTATTTAGGGGAAACATAGAGATCGTCCACCTCTTGCTCAACACAGGTGCACAGGTGGATCTGATTGCAGGTAAATATGGAACTGCTCTTCAGGTTGCTGCATCCAGGGGAAACATAGAGACTGTCCAGCTCTTGCTCAACTTAGGTGCACAGGTAAATCTGGTTGCAGGTTACTATGGAACTGCTCTTCAGGCTGCTGCATCTCTTGGATTTACAGAAACTGTCAAGCTCCTGCTTAACTCAGGTGCACAGGTGGATCTGATTGCAGGATACTATGGAACTGCTCTTCATGCTGCTGCATATGAGGGACATACAGAGACTGTGCAGCTCTTGCTGAACTCAGGTGCACAGGTGGATCTAGTTGCTGGAAAGTACAGAACACCTTTGCTGGCTGCCTTATATTCTTTCAATTCCCCTTGGAGGCCCCTCAAAACTACTAACATCTATCACATCATCTCCACTCTCCTCAACGCTGGTGCAAAAAGGAAATATCCAGTCATCTACAACCCAGTAACACAAAACACCATCTGGTCTCTTCTCTTGAGACCACACTGGGGAAACCATATCTTGACACCAGACAAACCTTTAATCTGCACCATGTGTGATTTGGCCTGTGGTATGGCTTTCTCTGGCCCCGTGACAAATTATTATGATGTGTATGATGATGGCAAAGATGATGATAGCAATAAGAATGTGGATTAGGGCTTGGAACTTCTAGTGACCACATGTAAATGAAAAATTTATTTATACTGATCTTAGCATTATCCAGTCAAGTCAATTCCCAATCCTATTACTAAGCACACCCTCGCACCCACCCCCTACGCATAGCTCCACACCCGCGCCAGACTGTCCCCGCTCCCGGTGGCGAGCAGGTTCGCCGCGGGGCTGAGGTCGATCGAGATGACCGAGTTCTTGTGCCCCTGGAGGAGCGCGTGCACCGCGCCCGCGCGGTCCCAGAACTGCACGCCGCGGTCCTTCGAGCCGGACACGATCCACTGCGCGTCGTGCGAGACAGCAACGGATAGCACGTAGTCCTCGACGTTTATTAATATTTTTTGGGAGATAAAATGGAATAGGGAGACACACCTTGTGCCCGAGGAAGTCCCGCGTGCAGACGGCACGGCCCTCCGGCGCGACGCCCGCCTCCCTCTTCACCTTGCCCCCCGCTCGCGAGCGCGGACACGTCCCAGTACTTGAGCGTCTTGTCGAGGCTCCCGCTGATCACGCCGCGCCCGTCGGGGGTGAACACCACGCTGTACACGCTGTCCCGGTGCCCGCGGAGGCGTTCCAGCAGCACACCGCTGTCCGCGTCCCAGATCCGGACGACATTGTCCAGCGACCCCGGCGGCGACGTACCTTCCATCCGGGGACAGCGCCACACTCGTGACACCTGCGTCCTGGCCGTCACGTGTTCCGTCGCGGCTGGCGGCCGGCGAGGGCGCGGGCTCGTCGACGGCGAGGATGAGCGGCGGCCCGCCGTCCATGTCCCACACGCGCGCGGTCCGGTCTCCCGAGCCGGACACGATGCGCCCGGCCGTCGCGCGAGAAGTCGAGCGAGTAGATCTCCTGGGTGTGCCCCGAGAATATTTGGGCGACGGTGCCCTTCGTGATGTCCCAGATCTGGTGCGTTGATCAGTACAACGAGTTTAAAAAAATATGATGACACAGAAGAGGAGGGAGTAGAATGGTTGGGATCAACGCGTAGAGATACGGGGAAAGGGTGAATGGAGCGGGCAGACGAAATGGATATGCCCGGGTTGTTCAGCAAATGAACAATGAGTGTGAATGGGACGGGACAAGGTATGCTGCCGCGCAGAGTCGCCGCAGACAAGGCGTAAGTGCGGCCAAGCCCGTGGACTGGCCGTCACAATTAAACGGAGGCGAGAAGAGACGTCGAGGAGCAACGACGATGAACCAAGGAATAACCCTAGCAGGAGGAGAAAAAACAGAAAGGAGCACTCACCCGTATCTTCCGGTCCTCCGCCCCCGTCGCCAAGAATCGCCCATCCGGGCTAAACCGCACGCTCCGAATGTAAAGGTCCCCAGCCGGCCCACTGACGTCGTCGACCAGCACACTGTCCACACATCAGCGCGCGGAATAATAAGGAAAGGCAGCCACGCACCTCGTCTTGCGGCCCGTCTTGACGTCAAATATCTGCGCCGAGCGGTTGCAGCCCGTCGCCAAATAGCGTCCGTCCGCGGAGAATTGGACACAACAGACAACTCTGTCCGCTTATCAGCGACACATACGAAAGAAAGGAAAGGAGGAACGGAGGGAAAGGGTCCAAGAAAACAAATGTGAACAGCAAAGTACTCACGTCGCATGCGCAAACGTATGCAACAACTGCACGCTCTCCAGCCGCCGCGGCCGGATGCGCGGGTTCCACACCGCGAACCAGTCCGCGCCCTCCTTCTTCATGTCCGCCGGCAGACTTGCTATGTCCAGCCCGTCGACCCACGCCGGGAACGGCTCCTCCTCGCGGTCGCGCTCGCCGCGCTCCTTGTCGGTCTCGCGCTCGGGTGCGGGAATTAAGGCAAGTGCAGAGGTAGAAGTAGAGGGAGCGGAGCGGAGGAGCGGCATCGGCGGGAGGGGCAGATGGGAGTGGTCGGGCAGTCTATGCGCCGAAGTCGATGCCGCTGCCGTCATCGGGCGCCCGGGGCTCTCGGCGCTGAGACCGGTAGGTGGTGGGGCGGTACGAGAGAGAGTGCGTGCGGGCTGTCGTGCTCTGACAGGCCCATAAGCGGGGGGAACGAACGAATGATGACGTAGGGCATATTAGGACACACCTTTGGTCAGTCTGAGCCGCTTGGCGTCGCGCTCGCCCCCGCGGTCCCTCTCCCGCTGGTCCCTCTCCCTGTCGCCGTCCCGGGATCGCTCCGTGCGGTCAGCGGGGATACCCGGCCCGCCGAGCCCCGGCCCCGCGCTGCGAGACGCCTGCAGCTCCGCGCGGAGGTGGGCGATTTCCTCCTCGTAGCGCGTGCGCAGCTTGCCGTGCTGCGCCTCCAGCTCGTAGAGGGCTTGTCGGATGATATTGAGTTCGTTGATTTGGGTGTTGACTGCGCGTAACAGTGAGTATTCGCAGTGAGACAGGGAAAGGCACAAGGGACGCACCCTTGTTCTCGTACTCGTCGCGGAGGGCGTACGCGGTCGCGCGGTCCGCGACGAGGCGCTCGTACTCGGCGCTGACGCCGCCGACGAAGCCGGACACGAGCTCGGCGAGGTGCGGGGACAGCGCGCTCGTGGACACGGCCCCGACGCCGGTGGGCGCGGGGAGGGGCACGGCGGGGCCCGAGGGCTGCAGCGTGCGGTGCTGGGGATAAGGTCAGCGGTGGTGGTGGGGAGGGGAGGGAGAAGGGAGAGGGGACGCACGTTATATATCCCGCCCGACATTCTCTCTGACATTCTGTTCTCTTCTGCTCGGTCTCTCTCGGTGTCTGCTACGCTCGTCGCTAGTCGCTGGCTCGAAGTCGGGTGCTACGTCAGGGCAGGGCAGGTGGGCGGAGGAAGCAAGGCAGGCCCACGCCCACGCCCCCGCGGGTCTTATACCGCCACGCTGGCACCAGCCACGCCACGCGATGCGTACCCACGCCAACCACTTGCCGCCGGGAATAGCCTTCCGGGGATGCCGTGGGATGACAGCACGCACGTCCGCGCGCGTCGGGGACTGGGCCCTGCAGTCCGCTGCAGCTGTCCGATACGCTCACCGCGCGGTCAGTAACTCAGCCTTCCTGTGCTGCCTCGCACTTGCAAGGCACACGATGCTCCCCCGCGCTAACCACCCTCGATCGATCGATCGATCCTACTGGGTTCTCCGACTGCCCCGAGCGCCGCTCTCCCCCCGCCGGCGTCCGTCCCGCGTCTCTTCTCCTTCGGGCAGAACCCCTCCTTCCCCGCGCATCGCCGGCGACGAGAACCTCCCCGCACCGGCGCCGGCGTCCATCCATCTACATCCAGGCCTAAGTATGCATCAGCATCTGCCCATCGCGGAGCTCGAGGCTGTGCGTACATTGCACTTACCATTTGATTCCGCGCTGGCGAAGAACGCCGACTGCCGACTGCCGGCGACAGCCCGAATGCACCCTGGGAGTTCGAACCTCCTCCCCGCTTACCCCCGCTCCATATTAATAGATAATTGAAGAAGCCCGCACGCGGCACGCCGGCGGGCAGTCAAGTCCCCAGCCGCGCGCGGCGTCCTGACTGGCCCCCGGCCCCAGTCCTACTTTGACGCTGGACGCAGACGACGCACGGGACGGGAGGCGGTGGGGTATAGCGGGGGATGATATCACCCCGGCGCCCCTGGATATCGATGTCGATGTCCGTCCTGCCTAAGCCCCGGCCCACGCCACGCCAAGCCTCAAGATCCGGTCCAGCGCTCCGGCCCGCGCCTGCACGGAGTGCTAAGACACCGCTATCGCGAGTTTTTGTACGCCGCTATCGCGCATGCTAAGACACCCTATCGCAAGCGCTCGCCGCGGCCGATCGCCAACCTCTCCGCCTAGCCCCGTTCCCCGCGCCAGCCAGTTCCAGCGCCAATCGACGCACCGTGACCGACAGGCAGTATGGCTCCCCGCCCGAATATGATCTCATCCTGATGCAGCAATACAACTTGCGCGCGGGTCGCTTCCTGATGGCCAGCCGGCGCACACCCCGGACACGGGCTGGTGCTATGAATAGCACTATCACGAGCAAGCCATAGTTGTCAGCTAGACATCACATCGGGGTTTCCCACAAAGCTGGCGGGCCAAAGTAGGACTTATTTATGCCAAAGCTGATTGCACCCAAATCCAGGGGCACAGTCTTGGTATTTGAGGCATAAGAAGTAGAAATAAAATCGACCAAAAACAGAAAGACGAGGAGAAGAAAACAAGGGGCATTTTATAGCAGGTTATCTAGACCGATAGAGTCATAAAAAAACTCATGGTTGACAGGCCTGATACCAGGCTTCAGGTCGGGGTGTACAAGGCTTCTTCCAAGAAATATGTGTCTGGAAGTTTGTAAGAGACTCCGACAAAAGCCTAGCAGGGGAGGATCCAAAGAGAAGAAACTCTAAGGGCCCGCCTGCTAGGGCACCAACTATATACTGCTCGTCCATAACTGCCGACGACGCCGTAGAGCACAGAAGGCCTGAGCAATGTCGCAGGCTCTGTTCCAAGGTGATTCGGGGTGGGTCGGAGTGTCCGAGGGGGCGCCAGTTAGATGCGCCTCGGATGTGTTCGGAGGGTCCAAAGGAGTCCAAAGCAGGGGTTCCCCTGACAAAGTTGAACAGAACAGACAAATTGTTGGGCCCCCAAGCAAAGGTGCAAGCAAGCAGGGCGAACCAAACCAAAAGGGCCTGTTAAAGTGGTAATACTGGGTTACTTGACTATTCAGCTGCCAATATAGGTTACTTGATAAAAGTTGTTTGTATAGACAAAATACACAAGTTTCATGTTGTGATGATCTGTGACATTTTTTAATGATTACATTGTGAAATGGCAGAAAAGTTCCTTTTTGGGAAATTGTAAGGGCAACCCCGGAGGCCTGAGATCAAGGTCCTAGCAGGGGAGGATCCAAAGCGTGAACATTGGTAAGCAAATACAAATGAAGCTGACCTAGCAGGGGAGGATCCAAAGAGAAGAAACTCTAAGGGTCCGCCTGCTAGGGAGCTGACTATATACTGCTTGTCCATAGCTGCCGCTGTCGGGCACAAGGCTTGGGCGGCGTCGCAGGCAAGGTCCCAGGGCGACCATTGGGAGGGCGTTGACGGATCGGTGATTGTGCAGGCGAGATGGAGGGCCGGACCGGAATCGGAATCGGACCGGAATTGGAGGCGTCTCCGAGGGGCCAAAAGGGAGGTTCCCCTGACAGAAATTTGTCATGTGTATCACTTTATATTATAGTATATCATATTTACCAAATAGTGGCTATTAACGAGAAGTCCCTTTTCCAGACGCTGCGTCACATGTTACATAATGTGACTTTAGGGAACTTGGTCTCAATGGTCTGTATCATATTATTTACCCCCTAGCTATTTGACTTGGCAGAAATTTGCCTTGGAGTTCAGAATTATCCAGCCCCTTTCTATGCATTATTCACTACTTAGGCAATTCTGAGAAGTCTGGACCTTATCAGTTATCCTCACACTTTACCACTGATAACTTACAGTTAGTTGTGGGCTCAACAGGTGTGTAAGGGCAACTCTGGAGGCCTAAGGTCAAGGTCCTAGCAGGGGAGGATCCCAGAGGTGAATAGAAGTAAGCAAATACAAATGAGGCTGACCTAGCAGGGGAGGATCCAAAGAGAAGAAACTCTAAAGGTCCGCCTGCTAGGTAGCGGAACTATATACTGCGCTCTTGACGCGCCCAGGTTGATCGTTGCTCCGTGCAGTATGCCTGCGCCATGTTGCAGGCCAGGTCCCAGGGGGATCGCCAGGCGGGGGCGGCGATGTGCCTGATAGAGGTGGTGATGCAATCACCGGAGTCGAAACCGGAGTCGGGGCAAGTCCGACGGGCCGAAAGAGGGGTTCCCCTGATAAGGTAGAGACACACATTTGCTTGAACAGATTATGGGCCTCAGCAGCACCTTGCCTACCAATGAGCTTAATATCTAGCATGGTACCCGCCTCCCACTCCTTGCTCACAGATCTGTTTTTTTTTTATTTCAAAACTCCTAAGTTGTATAATGCCTTTTTATCTACATGACATAATGAAAAAAAAAATTAAGGTGCACATCCAACTCTAGTCCACAATACCATTGGCATAAGCCTGAGCATGATCATCAATCATTATTGTGTATAGCGCCAGAGAAAGCCCTCTGGCAGGTTAAGTCAGACAGGGTACAAATCAATGGTTTGAAAGGTGTCAAGATATGGTTTCCCCTCCATGGTCGCAAAAGAAGAGACCAAATGGTGTTTTGTGTTACTGGGTTGTAGAGAGCTGGATATGCTTTCAATGCACCAGCATTGAGGAGAATGGAAATAGTAGGATAGATGTTAGGGTGCCGATGACAAGCCTTCAGCTTGTTGTTGCTTGTTTGTGCTTGTTTGTTCATATTTGGTAGTTGTTCCTGATCTCTCCCTTTATGTGTTCCTTAGTTCCTATATGGTTCCTTCTAGTTCCTGTTCCTGTTCCTTCTCCTAGCTCCTAGTCAGTAGTCTATATAAGCCTGTCTTTAGTTTAGTTTCCATATCATAGTTTTCCCCCAGCAAAGTTTCCTCAGAGTCCAAAGTCTTCCTCTTCTTCTCCCTCTCTGGTTGTGCTGTAGCCTTTGGTTGCAGTTAGAGCAGTTTGAAGGGCTCTTGCTTTTCTTGTTCTTTCTCACACCAGTGAGAAAGCTTGTCACCGATAAGAATTCTGAGAATGTAAGGCAGCCAATAGAGGTGTTCTATACTTTCCAGCAACCAAATTCACCTGAGCACCTAAGTTGAGCAGGAGCTTAACAGCTTCTGAACATCTCTTAAATGCAGCAGCCTGAAGAGGAGTTCCATAATACCCTGAAACCAGATCTACCTGTGCACCTGAGTTGAGTAAAAGCTGAATAATTCCTATATGTCCCCAATATGCAGCAGCCTGAAGAGCAGTTCCCCCTTGGACCCTTGGTCGACGGCGTCTTGGATCCAATCATGAACTCGCCACCTTTTCTCGACTTCCTCATACAACCAGGTGTAC